GTCTAGACTATGTAATAATAGTAAAAAAAGGCAATTTCAAACTGGCTGTAGGAGTGGCAGTGTGTTTGGGTGAACGACCAAATTATAGTTAAGGCAAAGAGGTGAAGGAACTATTCTGAAGAATGGGAATGGCAGGGCATTTCATCTGCCATGGAACAAGGATTCCACGGGGAAAGAATGGAAGGAGGAAGCATTAGGTTGGAGGGAGCTAAGAGAAGTGCGGAAATTTCTATAACAAGATCACAAATACATTACATAAAAATGTTTGGGTTTCAAAACACCTAGTTATGCCAAATCAAATCTACCAAACGCATTTGCAGATTCAGAGCTAAACTTTCAAGAAACTAAGAGAATCTCCAAGGAGCACAAATAAAGAGAGGACTGAAAATGAGAACTAGGACCATAAGAGTATGCTTATGTTAACACTGTCTCAGTGACCAAGGGGTTTGGATTTTAACACCAGGAGAGGTGGCCCCCGGCCCACAAAAGGCAGGAAATTGGAATGTAGACTCTGCCTGAAGTCAGGACCCTCAAGATGCTAAGTTTGAATGAAAGGGTGGATTAAAAAGAAGTCTTCCTTGGTCTGGGCTCTGGGAAGGAAAAACTCCCCCATGACAATTTGTAACCACAGGCACTCCTTCACGTGGGTTTGGTGTTCAAATGTATTCCAGTCGAATGGTCTGGGACCTCAAGTTGAAAAATTCCTATGAAAAATGGTCCTAGTGCAGGAGTTTTAATATTGGACAAGGGGAGGATGGGTATTGAGGAATATCTAGCAGTCTGCTGTATCAGTCCCTAATTTTGTTTCAGAGAAATATGATTATGTTTTTTTTCACTATAGCCAAGGGGGTGGGTGTGAAGTGATTTTGATTTGTATTTTCTTATTGGCTAATGGTGTTGAGCAACTTTTCAAGTCTTTATTGACCATTTCCTTGCATCTCTTTGAAAGTAAACTTTCTAAACGCCTTTGTCTCTGAGTCTTCCTTCTACGCTAGTAATATCTTCAGTTAAACTTAGTGTCTCCTTGTTTTGGTTCACTTAACAAGAAGATAAAAAGTAATGGCAATACATTAGTCTTTATGTTTTCTCATTCATTTATTCACTCCTCAAATATGGACTGAGCGCCTCTTATGTGCCACAGGCTGTTCTGGGACCTAAGTATATAGAAGAAAACAAAACAAACAATAAAACTTTGTCCTTAAAGAGCTCACATTTTCTTGGCTTTTTAAATTTTTTCCAGTTTTTTTTTTTTTGAGATATATAATTAACATCCAGCACTGTATATAAGTTTAAGGTGTACAGCATAATAAATTGACTTACATCTATTGTGAAATGATTACCATAATAAGTTTAGTTAACACCTATCATCTCACACAGACATCAAAAAAAAGAAAAAGTGGTTTTCTTCCTTGTGAGGAGAATTCTTCGGATCTATTCCTTTTTTTATTGGATAAAAAGAAAATATAAAATAAAATTTATCTTAACCATTTTTAAGTGAACAGTTCAGTAGTGTTAAGTATATTCACATTGTTGTGAAATGAATCTTTAGAATTTTTTCATAAATATGAAACTCTATATCTGCTAAACAGTCCTTTTTTCCCCCTCTCCCCAGCCCCTGGTAACCACCATTCTCCTTTGTTTCTATGAATGTGACCACTTTATATACCTCAGATAAGTACATGCCTCAGATGGTATTTGTCATTTTGTGAGTGGCTTATTTCACTTAACATAATATCCTCAAGTTTCATCCATGTTACAGTATTTCCTTCCTTTTTAAAGTTGAATAGTATTCCATTATATGTATACACCACACTTTGTTTATCCATTCACCCATCAATGGACATTTGCATTGCTTCCATCTCTTGGCTTTTGTGAATAATGTTGCTATGAACATGAGTGTGCAAACACCTCTTTCAGATCCTGCTTTTAATTCTTTTGAATATATACCCAGTAGTATTGCTGGAACACGTGGTAGTTCAATTTTTAATTTTTTCAGGAACTGCTATGCTGCTTTCCATAGTGGCTGCACTGTTTTAATTCTCACCAACAGCGCACAAGGTCTCCAATTTCATCACATCCTCTCCAAAACTTATTTTTTGTTTTTTATATTAATAGCCGTCCTAACAGGTATGAAGTGATACCTCTTTGTGGTTTTGATTTGCATTTCTCTGATGATTAGTGATACTGAGCATCTTTTCATATGCTTTTTGGCCATTTGTATATCTCCTTTGGAGAAATATTTATTCGAGTCCTTTTTTTTTCCTGAGGAAGATTCACCCTGAACTAACATTTGTGCCAATCTCCCTCTATTTTGTATGTGGGTTGCTGCCAAAGCATGGTCACCAATGAGTGGTGTAGGTCCATGCCCAGGAACCAAATCCAGGCCACCGAAGAGGAGGATGCTGAACTAAACCACTGGGCCATGGGGCTGGCCCCTCAAGTCCTTTTTAAAATAGAGTTGTTTGATTTTTTGTTGTTGTTGAGTTGTAGGAGTTTGTTATATATTCTGGATAGTAACCCTTTATCAGATATACAATTTGCAAATATTTTCTCCCATTCCATAGGTTTGTTGTTGCCTTTTTACCTTGCTGTGTTCTTTGATGCACAAAAGTTTTTAAGTTTGATGTAGTCCCATTAGTCTATTTTTTCTTTTGCTACCTGTGCTTTTGGCGTCATATCCAAGAAATCATTGCCAAAGCCAATGTCATGAAGCTTTTCTCTCATGTTTTCTTCTAGTTGTTTCATAGTTTTGGGTCTTATGTTTAGGTCTTTAATCCATTTTGAGTTAACTTTTGTACATGGCATAAGGTAAGGGTTCAATTTCATTCCTTTTACATGTGAGTATCAGTTTTCCCAACACCATCTGTTGAAGAGACTGTCCTTTCCCAGTTGAGTGGTCTTGGCACCCTTGTCAAAAATCACTTGACCATATATATGAGTGTTTACTTCTGGGCTCTCTATGATATTCCATTGGTCTACTTCTGCCTTTATGCCAGTACCATCCTATTATTACCATGGCTTTGTAAAATGTTTTGAAATTAGGAAGTGTAAGTCCTCCAACTTTGTTCTTTTTCAAAACTGGCTTGGCTATTTGGAGTTCCCTGAAATCCCATATATATTTTATAACAATTTTTTTTTTCTCTATTTCTCCAAAAAATGCCATTGGGATTTTGGTAGGGATTGTGTTGAATCTGTAGATACCCTTGGGTAGTATGAACATTTTAACAATATTGAGTCTTCCAACCCATGAGTGCCAGATGTCTTTCCATTTACTTGTGTTGTCTTTAACTTCTTTCAGAAATGTTTTGTAGTTTTCACTGCACAAGTCTTTTGCTTCCTTGGTTAGGTTTATTCCCAAGTATTTATTCTTTTTGATGCTATTGTAAATGGAACTGTCTCCTTAATTTCCTTTTCATATTGCTCATTGTTACCATATAGAAACATAACTGATTTTTGTGTGCTGTTTTGTATCCTGCAACTTTGCTGAATTACTAGTTCTATTAGTTTTTTGTGTGTGTGGAATCTTTAGAGCTTTCTACATATAAGACGTCATCTAACAACAGAGATAATTTCACTTCTTCCTTTCTAATCTGTATGCCTTTTATCTCTTTTTCTTGCCTATTTGCTCTGGCCAGGACTTCCAATACTATGTTGAATAGAATTGGTGAGAGTGGGCATCCTTGAAAAAGCTTTCAGTCTTTCACCACTGAGTATGATGTTAACTATGGGATTTTCATAGACAGCCTTTATTACATTGAGGTAAACTTCCTTCTATTCCTAGTTTGAGTGTTTTTATTGTGAAAAGACAGTGAATATCATCATAAGCTTTGCCTGCATCAATTGAGATGATCATATTGTTTTTGTCCTTTATTCTGGTATTATGGTGTATTACATTGACAGATTTTTCATTTGTTGAACCATTCTTTCATTCCAGGAATAAATCCCATTTGGTCATAGTATATAATCCCTTTAACGTGCTGTTGAATTCAGATTGCTAACGTGCATCTTCTCTGTACTGCTGCAATTTTAGCATATGTGCTGCCAAAGCAAGAACTCCCTGTGGCTTTATCTTTTAAATGGGGCATAATGTACTTTGAATTCCATAATGTACTTTGCAATTCTTATCAAATGAGTAAATGTCTCAAGGAACAAGAATTCTTTTCTATGTTTGAAATATTGACAGAAATTGAGACACACCTGTCATTATTTTCTTCGTGGAACTGGCATCACCCTCTACCTAAAATACCTCAACTGGAACGTCAGAGCGACTGCTTCTTTGGAAGGTGCTGTGCAACTACTTGACCCATGAGGAGCACCCAAATTTGCCGGTTCTATGACACCATATGAAACTTGTTTGTAACTACACCTAAATTGTTTAACATATACGAGAGTAAGAATAAGATGTACCTGGAATTCAATTCTTCTCCAACGTATTCAATAATTCAACCTTTAGGGTACTTAAAATATAGCCCCTCCTGCGTAGCGATGCGCAGAGTGTCCGGCCCGTAGCGGTGGATTCACTTTTCCGGCTGACTAGAGATCCGGACATAAATGCCAGGCACTGGGGACTGTGAAGAATACGACTTTTTGGGGAAAAGCAGCGGGGACCATACTTTTGGAAAAGTTTGGAGCACGCTTTTGGGAAGCTACAGGGAATTTTTGCTTCTGTTTTACAACTTATCTCGGACTTGCAGGCACTGGCCCAGAGCTGGGAAAAGGTTAACAAGTGTTTATAATACCCAGGGACAATTTGTCGCCTTCCTGGAAGGCTCCCGCCAGATGCAGCCCAATTAGGGAGCAAAGGAGAGGGAGACTCTCTCGATGAGGCCCCGGTCCAGGAAAGAGGCTGCAAGACCAAACCAAAAAAAAAAACCCGAGAAAAACCAGGACCCTCTTAAAGGTCCAGACCCTCGCTGCCAGCGCCGGTTTGCGCCTGCGCCCTGAGCGGCGCAGCCTTGCTTCTCAAAAGCGCATGCGTCTTGAACTGCGCGGCACCCACACTCGTATTGCGCCGGCGCAGCCGTGCGTCGCCCAGGCTGTTGGGAATTGATGGCTGTTAGCGAGTAGGCTGAGATGCTTGGCGGCGCCGTTTCTGTGGCAGTCGCCAGTTACCCGGTGGGCGGTGCTCAGGCCTAGGAAGAAAGGTGAATGCACAGCTGAGCGCCCTTGTCTCTGACCTTTGTACACATTTGTTTGTTTTATCCCCAGACGCTCAGACGCCACCATCTCCAGCAGCCGCCATCCGTGAAGCAGCTGAAAATTGTCTCTCGGGGAATTTTAGTCTTGTTTGGAAGCAGCCCCGGCCAGGCAGTCCTCTTTTATTTAGAAACACCCAGGACGTGATGGACACCTCAGAAATGTCATCCCTCCTTTGACTTCCATAGGAAGCTGAATTATAAAATTGAATAATAGTTACTTTGAAGAAAGGAAAGAAAAAAGGAAAAATTCACACACATGTGTACATGTACACAAAATAATCTCGAGGATGGAACCAGCAACTGCTGTGATGACCTCAGTGGGGGAGAGACTGGGTGGCTGAGGATGGGCATGAGGAGTGTTCTTTTTTGGGGGTTTTTTTTGTGTGGAGGTTTTTTGCGTGGTTTGGAATTTGGTCAATGTGCATGTATTATTTTTTAAATGTTCATTTGACTCCTTTATCAAGACGTAGATAGGAAGAAAATGTGGAAATTTAAAAAGTCTAAGTAGAATCCAGTAATACTGGGTAAAATTGGATGTACGTGTGAAGATCAAACGTCTTGTGTAAACCACGAAGTCTTCCTGTTTATTTCTGGACGGAGATGTTTGGGGGTTGCGGCAGGAGGGTACAGGAAAAGAGGAGCCAGGCATTTTCGGAAAATTATGACAGTGGTGGCATACAGGAAGCAAGTCTTTATCATCTCAATCATTGTATATTCACTTTGGATTAGCTGAAGAAAACCGAACGGTAAATTTTAGTGTGAGCTCACTGAAGTCAAACGTAGATTGGAAGGGGACATTTGATGTTTATTTTTGTAAAGGAAATTAATTGGGTGTGACTGGCAGGGTTGAGACCTGAAGTTCCTCTTCTAGATAAGGAAAACTTCCCGTAGTGAGGAATCTCCAGACTGTTTATGGTAAATTCCTGTCTCCAGCCTTGCAAGATAATTTTAGACTCTCTCTAGAGGAAGTAGTGAGGAAAAAAGTAGGCAACTGTGCCCAAGAGGATTTGCAGACAAAAATCTCATACTGAAAGAAGATTCTGGACACTTCTCAGTCCCTAGGTCAACTGAATCAGTTCAACTTCATTCTCCAATCAGTGGTTAGTGGATGTAGACAACTGTAGGAATTTGAGATGGGTTGGGAATCCAAAAAGTTGAAAGTGTGAAGTCAAAGGCCAGAAGTTTATAATGTTGCTTCTGAGTTTGCCTTGTTTGTAAATAGGAAGCCAGAAGTTGAGCTCCCAAATAAAATATTTCAGGAATAGTGTTTCTTAAATAACTCCGAAAGTCACTACATCAACAAAGGAATAAATGGAACCTAGTGGGTAATGCTTCAATCAGACAGAGTAATGAGCAGTTCTTGGAGATAGAAATTCCCCATAGAGGAGAAAAAACACATCAGAGAAGAACATACTTAATAAAATTTATTTAAGAAAACAATAATTTATGCCCTTGGCAAAATAAAGGATCTTGTTAATATAAATGTTTCTTAGAAAACATATGAAAAGATAATATAATATATATATCAATAAATCAATATCAACATTACAGCAAAAGTAATGATTCTATAACAATAAGTGAGGATATTTCTGGCCCTTAGTGGTGTTTCTGGAGGGTCCTCTGATTTCTCCCTTTTTTAGTACAGATGTGCCCTCATTTTAAGAAAAGCTGATACATACATATCTAAATCTAAAAAATTGATCAATTAAAGGATATTTTTTCACGTCACGAAATAATTGTTTCCCCAAAAAATCAACAAAAAGGCTTCTGTAAGGGATCCTTAAAATTAGCAAATTTTCTTAACACATTTAGAATATAATTAACCAAATACATGTGTCTCCAACTTCTTTTGTTATAGCTCTATTGCGTAAAGTGAGGTATACCCGAAGTGAGGCAGTAACAGGGTTGGGCTTCAGTTCTGGCTGGGGAGAATGTGTTCTTATAGTATGAGGAAGTGGTTGGGGCACAAGTTCTCTCAATCTTTTGTTTCTCTCACCCTGAGCTCTTAATTGTCTTATCTCTACTGCTTTCTGGTAAACTTTGTTCACCTGGTACTCTCAAGAGAAAAAGAAGAAGTCATGTGGGAGGGGAGCAAATTATGACTTAGTGGGTCACTCCAGCAGAGCAGAGCGAGGAGAGAATCTGGGATTCAGAGTGTGCATGTGTGTATAGTTGGGGGAAAGCAGGAGCAATCCTGAACCCTTGACGAAAGGTGTTTTTGAGCCGCCTTTCCCGGTAGGGGTGCCTGACTGCCTGAGGAGCAGCAGGGCCCGGTGCAGCCCTCCCCGGATGGGACATAGACTCAGGAGGATGGACTCGGGCCTATTTGTCACACTCCTCCTGGCTCCCTTCAGCACAGTGGTAGTGCTGCTCACAGAACTCCTGGATCCGGCTACAGGCCTCCAGCATCATCACTTTGGGGACTGTGATTACCACGCGGAAGAAATTCAAGTACTCGAAGCACTGCAAAAATAAGAGCCAGTTATTCTCAGAGCAATTGAATCTCATCCTGGACCACCCTAAAATGGCCAGGGCCCTAATCGACAAGAAGCAGAGAAGCCATGTACTCAGGGCTATCAATTTACTCAGTTCCCATCACTGGGGTGCTAAGCCGGTAACTGAGTCAATTCATCTTAAAAGGAACTTGTGGGACAAGCTTGATTTCCTCTCACCTAGAATGTCCGGCCACCACTTTTCTTCCTGGTATGGATAGGATAAGGATGGGGGAGAAGTAAATTTTAAGTAGAGGCCGTGAGACACATCCGTTTGAATCTTATCAAATGAGAATACACTTTGTTGGGGGAGAAAAAAATCAAGCTAAAGACCAGCTCAGGGAGAGCTCCTGAGGCTCTAGAAACTGTTGAGAATGTTGTGAGGGAGACACAAGCACTCACCGTGCCCGGGAGGCAGTGGACGGATTGCTCAGCAACTAAGCGTTCTGTGAACTCCACATCATTCTCAAATTCTGGGAAATGTTCCATCTCAATTCCAACCTATACCAGTAATAGGGAGAGGCGGACTTATCAGGAGGGAAAACAGGCCAACTCTGTATGCTAGAAATTAAGGTAGGGAATGCTCTAAATGATATCTTGGAACTCTACCACTGACAACTAAGAGGTCTAGCACTTAGGAACTCATGAAATTTTTCATAGGGAAGAGAGGACATATTTACATTAATATTGTAGTTTATTGAAGAGTTCCCTTCTGAATGCTGATAAATGAAAGCTGGAAATAGAATGCCAATGTTTCTCCAAAAACAACTGTTAGCCTTATGGGCCAGGCAAGTCTTTATTGCATAGAACTATCCCACCTGTTGCAAGATACTTAGCATCCGTGGCCCACAAAATGCCAATAGCGCCCCCTAGTCATTCTGAAAACAAAATTACCTTACGTTCCCGAACACTCCTAGGGAACTCCTTGACTTCCCAGTTGAGAACTACAGTGGTATGGAAAGCCTCTATTTATGTCTTATATCTTCTCTGTATCTACTTATAAAATGATTCTCTGTATTGAGGAATTGTTATTTTAAGACATTTTTTGTGAGGTTAAATCACATCAGTGGGACAATTCAGAAGAAGGCAATCCCTACACTGACTGGCTCAGGAGCCTACCTAGCTGTTTTTGGAAGCCCTGCAGACTGGTTTCCCTTTGCCCTAGAACAAGTGCCTGCCATCCACGTACTCACCATGAGGTACATGGCCCCAGAAGGGCGGACTGGCCGGAGTCCAGGGATGGCAGCCAGTGCACCGTAGCAGAGATCCGCATTGGACTGCAAGAGAAGGCAGAGAGACGTCAAGGACCAAAATTTAAGTGAAAGAAAAACAAAGTCCTAAAAGTAGAGCCCACATTTAAGGTGAAGAACCTAAGTTTGCTCTGCTGGCATAAGGACTCAACAAGAAAAAGCCCTGTTACTTGAGGCTTTGGGCCAGGAGCAGAGTGAATTGCCAGAAATGACAGAAATGCATGGGTACATACTCCTTCTGCTTGATTGGAAGCCCCATAATGGAACATTGCTCTGGAAATGAGGACTCGTTATTCCTCACCAGGCTGGTAACATTCCTTGACTCCCAAAGTCCAAGTAGAAGGCCACAGGCTGCCCTTACCTTGAGTAAGCTTAGAGTGTTGTGGTAGAACTCTTGAGGGGTGCGACGCAGGATATTTTTCAGAGCTCCCTGGACAATGGTGCAGGGTCCCAGGATCCGCTGACTCAGCTTCACCAGCCCATCTCGGATCTAAAAGCCCCCCAGCAAACACATTATTTACCCTTTCTGAAGCATCTCAGTTTTGGGGATTCTTGTTCTGACCATTCTTTCTATCAAGTTTTTTTTTAAAGATTTTTTTTTTTTAATTTTTCCTTTCTCTCCCCAAATCCCCCCAGTACATAGTTGTGTATTTTAGTTGTGGGTCCTTGTAGTTGTGGCATGTGGGATGCCACCTCAACATGGCCCGATGAGCAGTGCCATGTCCGCGCCCACGATCCGAACCGGTGAAACCCTGGGCCACCTAAGTGGAGTCCACAAACTTAACCATTCGACCATGGGGCTGGCCCTCAAGTTTTTAATCTTTGGGGAAATGATGGTGCCTAGTGGCATTCTTTGATCAGACCACCCGGGTTTGTAGCCCAACTCTGTCACATAGCTGCTGTGTGACTCTGGGAAAATTATGCAGCTTCTCTGTGCTTCATTTTTCTCAACTGTAAAATGGAGATAATATTAGTACTGGCCTTATTGGGTTGTTGAGAGGATTAAATTAAAATAAGGTATATAAAACACTTGGGACATCGTAAACCTACAAACAATATCAGGTGTCATTACTGCTATTGTTTCCTTTTTTTGTGTTCCTAAAATTGGAGGCAGATGGAACTTGTTCACAGAGCCACGTACAGAAAAACTGAGCTTCGGAGAGCAATAACTAGTCCTATCTTTAACCAGCATCTTTCCAGTTACCCAGAACTATAGGGCCAAGAATAAAGAGAGAAAAAAACTCACCTCCTCATTACTGTGCGTGCGCAGTAAACACGTATAGCCCAAATTACGCATTCGATTTCACAACGTTGCTCTTACCTCGTTGCCAAAAATGTCTCTTCGGTCATGGATGAGGATCCAGCCCAACCTCCAGCCGGGAACCAGCCAGCGCTTGGCTAACCCTCCACAGGACAGGATGGGAACGTTGCTGCTGAGAGTGGCCAAAGGCTCAAATTTGGAATCTGAAAACACCTGAGGGGAAGAGGTGCTTGTCATAGTTGTCTTCTTGCTTCCCCTCCTCCAAATTCTATGCCTGCCACCCTCCTCCTTCTATCACTAGGGACAGGGCCTCGGATTTCCGGGTTCACGGCTACCTTGAAGCATGATTGGGATCCCAAGAGGCTCCAAAGGGGACTGTCTAAAGATATTGAGCCAGATGTCTGGTCTGGATTAAAGGAAGCTTAAAACGAGGAAACTGACTGGGAAATAGCCCCGTAATAGGTACAACCTCTAGGGAATGAGTGACTGTTGGAGTTATCGATTTAAAAAGAAAATATGGGTCCACAACCCCTTTTCTGAAATTCCTGGGCCCAGATATGTTGCAGAATGCAGAATCGTTTGGATTTTAGAAAAGTTATGTGGCACATATAACATATATTATGTAACACCCCCAGAGCAGTCTGGGACAGCACTCCTAATCAAACATATTAACATTTCTGCCCCTTTCCCTACACTTTTGACAAATACAGAGAGAGAGATCCATAAATGGGATCAATAAAAATCTACAAGTATCTTTATGTCAGGTCAAGTCAGGTTTTTCCACCAAGCGAATTCCAAAAATCTTCAGATTTTCATAGCTTTTTGGATTCCAGGAAACTGGCTAAGGGGTGGTAGATCTAAGTATTTGTTAAGAGGGCTGGGGTGCTGATTTTCTGTACTGAAATGATTAGGAGTATCTTCTGAGTATTCTAGATGCCCCTATTCCGAAGATCCCATGAAATAATTTGTAATTGAGATTATCATAGTGATATATCCTGCCCAAAACTCACCATGTCTCCATAGATCTCATCAGCTATGATGGGGACACACTGCCTTGCGGCCACTGAAAATAGGAGAAGCATGCTGAAATCATTTTGAATGTGAATTGCCTTAGCACTTAATATTCACCTGGACTTATTTTACTTTGCATTTCATGTTTGTATGTTTCATCTTCCTCTTTAAGAACTATAAATTCTTCTTATACTCTGCCAGGGTACAGAGCCTAAACTTGCCATTTAATTAACTAGGTATTTCTAACCATCTCTTCCACATAGGGGAGTGGTGAAGAGGCAAGTGTTGCCTTTTTCTCCTTCTTTTAGGCAAATCCTACAATTCCAGCGGTGCACTATTCATTAGAGACTCCAGTGGAGCTCCCACAACTCCATCCTAGGCTTGGAACTTAGTGAAGGACTCTTTTCTCATTACAGGAAAGAGTTAAAGGGTTCCATCCCCAGCTCCTCCCTTGTCAAATGAAGTCTGCTGGACTCACCTGCCAGAATTTTCTGGAGATGACTTTTACTGAACACTGACCCACAGGGGTTTGATGGATTGTTGACAATGAGACAAGCTGTCTTTTCATCAACCAGAGATTCTACTTGTTTCAGGTCAATTTCCCAAGACTTCTCTGGCTGGGGAGGAAGAAAGGGTGAGACTAAGATGATTCTGGAAAATTTGGGGGGAATACTCACTCAAAGGTGTTACGTAAATAATAAAATGTGTCTGTGGCCTCAACCATGCACTTCGAGATCTTTCTCTGCTAAGGTATTGGTCATATGTTTTCATGAAGTAATAACTGAGCACTTCAGTCTAAGATTAAAAAGTCATTTACCAATAAATTGTAGCATTTGACCTCAATTCCCATGGATTCAGCCAAAGTCCTGTAGAGAGCAAAGCCAGGTCTGGGAACTAGGATGTTTTGCCCTGGGTTGGCCAACACAGCTAAACAAAGTTCAATAGCCTGACTGCAGCCACTTGTCAGAATGACATCCTGTGAAGAAAATGCAAATTTCATTTTGTTAGGGGTTCCCACAGCAATGGGAGAAAAGAGATTGTCAGAAGGGTGAGTGGCAGGGGGACGGCCTGGC